AGGCCTAGGTAGGGGCTAACAAAGAAAGGATAAGGAATTACAAAGCAAGAGAGCATAGAAGGATATGCACATATAAATATACTCTCTAGATATCCCCATATTCTTTATTTTTTCACATGTATTACAACCTTCAAACTTATTTATTTTGATCTTCTTAGGTAGTGAATAAATTTTTCAGCACATAATTTTAGGCTTATGATATATTTTTGAAGCCTCTTTTCTTTCTTTTTCAACACTTTTTTTTTCTTTTTCTTTCATCTTCCCTTCTTTCATTCATCAACATCATTGTGCAAAATTAAGCTCTCTTGAAGGGTAGATCATGGTTTTTCGGGTTTGACAGGTTAAGTACAATGAGTGTTAAAGAAAATAATTCGAATGGTGGCTAATCATATGCTTTGCATATGCCATTCTTTTGAAAAAACTCAAAAGGGTAACTAAGGATTGAAATATATCAAGGATGGCTTGAAAAGGCTCAAATGATCCAAAGATGGCCTAAATCATCTCCAAAGTAATATGTTGTCTAGGATTTTGCCTTAAAGGCTAATCAAACAAGCTCTACAATAACACATAATGATCATATTGTTCCATATAGTTCACATAATCATTCACCAAGTTGTACACAATTTACAAGATCATGATATAATGTGCTCAAGAATTTGAACTTTCATGATACAATAGAGTTAACACGAGAATCAATCAATCCTCAGGATTAGCATTTTTTTTTCTTTTCTAAGTCATATTTGATTTCAATTAAGAATTTATCATAGGCTTTTAGTCATCAAGAAAAATTTAGCAATCACAAACTTAAGCTAAAGCATATTTCGAAAAAAAAATTGTGCAATCATACCATGCTCATGCTTTCGGGTTCACAAAAATTGCAATCTTCTCCCCCCCAAACTTAAATTTAACATTGTTCTCAATGTTAAATAAATTAAAGAGCAAAAAGAAGGAAACTAAACTTCCTTTCGAGTTGGTCTTGGTTTCAGCTATACATGCTGAAATTTCTTGTCCATAGACTCCAAAATTGCAACATACCTTTTATCAATTAAAAGAGAAGAAGGAAACAACAATAACAAGAGAAAGCGAAAATTAAAACAAAACTTAAAAGGAAATAAAGAAACATGAATATGCAACGATTAAGTGAAATCGCTAAGACCATTGGTCCACCTAACCATTCCAATGAATATTAATGGATGAGATTAACCAAGATAATTTGTCATTTCCATAAGCTGAAGTTTTTTCAATTTTATTTAATATTTTTTTCCAAGATATATTAAACCTATTTTTACCAAGTAACCCCCCGATTCCTCAACTAGAGTTCTCAAGTTAGAAATGCATTAAGTGCAAGAAAAACTTATACATTCAGATGAATCATGTGCATATATCCTTATATACCATTCAATTCACACCATGAATTATGTGGTCTAATATATGAATTCCTCTCCCGATTTATTCATATAAACCTAATCAATTAAGAGATGGCCACTCCTAATCGCATTAAGCAAATAACTCATAGACTATATGGCAATCACGATCTTGGAAGAATCATAAAAATACMTTCATTGTCATGGTTAGGCTTTCCACAACCCTAGTTATAAATAAATCAGTTCATAATAAAGGAAATAAAGCAAACAAGAGAAAAGAAAGAACTCATGATTTCGCCCTTGGAGCTGAGATCTCCTCTTTTTCTTGCCGCCACATCCTTCTTGAAGCTTTCTCCCTTTGTTGATCTCCTTCTTGAAGCTTTCTTGATGATCTTCTTGATTATTCCAGAGGAAACTTCAGTAATTGATTGATTCAGTGATGCCACAAGCTGGTCCGCCCCCCCTTTATATAGCTTTAGGAGGAGGGGCTCTCTCCAACTCCTCTTAGGAGATTATCCTCAAAATTAGAAAGTCCTAATTGGTTTTGATCTAATCCTATCCTATTTCTTATCTTATCTCTTATCTAATGATCTCAATCTTCTTTAACTTTCTAGAATTACATTTAGAGTTCAAATCTAAGAGGACTCTGGATTCTTGATTCGAGTGGGCTGCTTTAATAAGTTGGGCTATTACAAGGCTTTTCTGCGAATTGGGCTTCAGCTGTAAGCTGAGCTTTATTATGGATCCGCTTCGCCTTTGGGCCTGATTTTGACTTCGGTGCAGGCCGAATCTGTCAAAACCCAAAACATGAAAGTTGTAGATCTCGCTCTTATCTTTGCAGTGCATCTTGAATCAGCCAAATCGGAGCTCGGATATGAGAGTTAATCTTAGATTACTGAGCAGTGCTGAAACTATAAAAAACTATCTGATTAGCCTTGTTTTCCTTCTTACAACCTCCTTGTTTGCCCTGAATCAAAATACCAGAGTAACGAGTCCAATTAAGTACTAATTAAGTATAAAAGATTGAATATTTAGGAATAAAAATATGATAATTCTTATTCTCATCAATTTCCTATAGTCGATACATACCCTCCACCATTTTTTGGCACAACTTGCACAGGACTTACCCAAGAAGAATTAGAGATAGAAAAGATGATACCTGAATCAAGTCATTTTATCACCTCTTTCTTTACTATCTCTTTCATATTAGGATTTAACCTCCTTTGGGGCTGCACCATAGGCTTGAATCCTTCTTCCATCAGGATTTTGTGCATGCAAACTGATGGACTTATTCCTTGAATGTCGCCAATGCTCTATCCAATCACCCTTTTGTGTTCCCTAAGCACCCTTATCAACTTTCTTTTTCAAGACCTGTCAAGTAAGAAGAAATAATCACAGGTAAGGTAGATGAATTCCCCAAATAAACATATTTTAAATGCGAAGGAAGAGGTTTAAGTTCAAGAGTAGGAGGCTTCTTGATTGATGGCTTGGCTTTTGAAGAAGAGGAAGAAATATCCAAAGGCAACAATTTTTCTCTTTTTGTCACAAATCCTCTTTGCTTTTTTCCCAAATAGCCTACGACCTCCTTATGCTTCTCATCTAAAATTTGTTCTTTCACATCAAAAGAGTTAGCAATGCAATTCTCTATAGGATCATCTAACCTAAATGCATGAAATTTTCTTTCTGCTAAATCATCAATGCAATATACCATTAAGACTTCTTTTTCATCATTGGAATGTTTCATAGCCTTAAACACATTAAAAATAACTTCCTCATCATTAATTCTAAAGCTAAGTTTTCCTTGTTGGACATCAATTAAAGCTCTTCGTGTGGCAAAAAAAGGTCTCCCTAAGATTAGGGGCATATCATAATCTTCTTCCATGTCCAAAACAATAAAGTCAATAGGAAAAATAAATTTATCTACTTTTACCTAAACATCTTCCACTACTCCCCTTGGATATTTGATTCTTCTGTCAGCCAATTGTAGAGAAACAGTGGTAGGTAATGGTGCACGAAATAGAGAAGCTTCCTGAAGAGACAAAGGAGAAGCTCCCTGAAGACAAAAAAAGACATCAAATTAATGCTTGCACCAAGATCACATAAAGCCTTATCAAAATTAATTTCGCCAATGGTTTATAGAATAGAGAAGCTCCCTGGATCCTTGTGTTTTGGAGGTAATTTATTTTGTAGGATTGCTGAGCATTCCTCATTAAGTTTTACCATTTCAAGCTCCTCCAACTTTCTTTTGTTTGAAATTATTTCCTTAAAAAATTTGGCATAACTTGGCATCTGAGAAATAGCATCAAGAAGAGGAATGTTAATATGCAACATTTGAAACACCTCTAGAAATTTAGCAAATTGCTTATCCAAGTTAGCCTTAAGAAATCTTTTAGGAAAAGGAGGAGGGGGTTTGTAGGATTTTAAATAAAGAGCAGAAGAACTTCCCTTTTTCTCCATTGATGACTCGTAGACTCCTTCTTTGACTTCAAGGTTTCGACTTTCTTCCTCTTTTACATGCTCATCATCTTTTTCTTCTTTTCTAAGTTCTTTACTACTTCGGAGAGTGATGGTCTTTACTTGTTCCCTGGGATTCTTCTCGGTATTACTAGGTAATCCTCCTTGTGGTCTTGTCGAAATTGCTTGAGCAAGTTGTCCAATTTGAGTTTCCAACCTTTGAATTCTTGCCTTCGTACTGTTGATAAATTTTTCCATCATATCCTCTAAATTTGGCTTATTTTCTTGTGGATTTTGTTGTTGTTGCTAAAAGCCGGAAGGTGCTCTTTGTTGGTTATTACTCCAAGAAAAATTTGGATGGATTCTTCATCCTAGATTGTAAGTGTTGGAGTAGGGATTGAAATTGGACATGTTGCCACCATAAAAAACAAAATTAGTTTGTTCGGAAGAAGAAAATGAATTTCCTACTTGACAATCTGTACTAGCGTGTCCCCCTTGCCTACAAAGCTCACACGAAGGAAAGGGAACAAAAGAGACACTCATAGCTGAAACCCCCAAATTTTCCAATTTTTTATTTAATGCAGCAAGTTGAGCCGATAGAGCAGTTATAGAATCAACATTATAAATTCCAACTCCCTTTTTATTTGTTCTCTCATTGCCCCATTGATAACTATTGGTTGCCATCTCCTCCAAAAGTTCATATGCTTCTTCGGGAGTTTTCCTCATAAGGGTACCACCTGCAGCTGCATCTAACATTGAACAATTAGATCGATGAATGCTACTATAAAAAGTTTGCACTTGCATCCAAATATGTAGACCATTGTGAGGACACTTCCTAAGCAGTTCCTTAAATCTCTCCCACGACTCATATAAGGTTTCATTATCAAATTGAGAAAAAGTTGTTATGTCATTCCTTAATTTAGCCATTTTAGTAGGTGGAAAATACTTAGATAAAAACTTTTGTGCCAAGTCATTCCATGTAGTAATCAAACCTGCAGGAAGAGAATTAAGCCAATCTTTTGCTTTGTTCCTTAAGGAGAAAGGAAATAACCTAAGTCTAATGGTATCATCACTAACTCCATTATGCTTAAAAGTATCACATATTTCATGAAAATTAGCAATATGAGAGTTAGGGTCATCATTGGGGCCAGAAAATTGCACATTCATCTAGATCATCTGAATAATTGTAGGCTTAATCTCAAAATTGTTTGCTTGCACATTCAACCTCCTAATGCTTGATGTAGTACCATCTAGAGTAGGTATAGCGTAAAAGATCAATGTCCTTGGATTATTTTGGTCTTGAGCCATCTTGTTCTTTCTCTCCCTCGTTTGTTTTTTCAAAGTCCTTTCGATTTCTTGATCAAGGGGTATTAATTCTCCACCCTTAGTGCGTGTCATGCACTAGGAACCTTCAAAGAAAAGAAAAAGAAAAAAATTGAAAATTTCCTAAAAAATTTTATAAAGCCGAACCCAACAAAGATTAAAATGGAAAATTTTAAATCCGAAATTAAAAACAAATAGATGTTCAATCTAAGGCTAATTCAGGTAGTTTTGATATGCAACAAACTAGTCCCCGACAACGACGCCAAAAACTTGTGTAATTTATGCACAATTAATTTAGGGAAGTGTACCTTAGTCAAATGTGCGTATAATGATGAGAAAAGTATCGATCCCACAGAATAGATCACAGTACCAAATCAATTTTAAACTAACCTAAGTTGAACTCGTGAATCAATTGAAGGAAAAAACTAAAAGAATTAATGCAAATCCAAGAACTTAATAAAAACTGAATTGATGGATRAATGCARHTAKGGTTTAGATTTCATTAAATCAAGGTTATATAATTATCTATTTAATCCAACTCAAGACCGAAATTACCCTAAGGTATATTAAAGTTATTTGCATGTGATGATGGATTACCCTAAATTAATTAATAAGCTTTCTCAAGTCATATTAATCCTTTATTAATCAAATTCTACCATCAAATTTCTAAGTGGTTGTCAAAAGGAAAAATAAGCATTAATTTCTTTGGAAACCTCTAATCGTAGAATGGGATTTGACTCACTAAGCTCCCTTGATTCCCATACATGAGCTAATCATCTTTCGATATCATAGTCTATCATGCGATTTTTATTGCCTAGGGATCTAATTCATAACAATCCTTTGGTYAGTCATGCATGAATCATCAAATCATTAAAAGATTGGCCAAATCTTTTAAAGCATTAAGTGTAGCAAAAAAAATTCCTCATGCAAATAATAAAGGTCTTGAATTGAATTAAACAAATAACTATATAATCTTAAGATCAAAATCCATCTAAACCCTAGCTAAGAGAATTTAGCTAGATATCATTAAATTCAACATACTCAAGAAAATTAAAGGGAAACACAGCAAGAACACATCAAAGAATGAATAGAATAACAAGAAAATTTTAACCTTTGGAGGTTAAAGACAAGTGCAGCAACTAAGCCTTCCTCCCTCTTAGATTCAGATTGTTCATCTCCTTCTCTAGCGTGTTAAAACTGCTTCCTCTCTTGTTCTGATGTGCTGTTTCATCTTTTTTTCTCTTCTGAATTCTCTCTAAGGATGTGTCCCATTGCCTTGAGTCTATGGTCCTTTTTATAGTGTAACCACCCCTCAATTTCTTCTCAATGTAAATTCCTATTTCAACACAAATTAGGTCTCTTAGTTTTTATCTCAGTTGAATTCTTATCTCTTCTGCACTGCCAACTGCCAGACCCGAAACTTGTAGCTCGAATTGCACTTAATTGTCGACGGAATTAGGTTGAGTGATAAACACAAGAGTTGTATCCCTATCTCTTAGTTTTAATTAGCCATTTTAATCACCTCAATCCTAGTTGTAGGTAGAAAGTTATGCCCAAAATACTGGAATATATCAAAACAGGAAATTTCCCAATTTTTGTGCATACATATCAAATCCGATTTCAATGGATTCTCTCATTCATGGCTACATCATGGAGCATCATTGCTGCATGGTCCTTCCTCTATGATTATCTTGATCAATTAAATTGAACTCCTCCTTAAAATTGCACAATTAAGCTCCAAATCATCTTGCAAGACAATTTCATCATAATTAGTGCAATACCATGCTAATTCCAAAAACATTATTACCAAAATCATCAAGTTAGAGGTATGGAAATATGTACAAATATAGGCTTATTAGTGTGTCCGGAAGTGTGTCATTAAACACTTCGGAACACTAGTTTAAACATTTATAATTTTATTCCGATTCTCAAACAACTACTAACGTAGTAAAGGGGTGAGAATGGGTTGTATCCATAGGGAAGTGAGGGAAAAATAATCTTGTACTTAGATTTGGGAGAAGAGAACGCAAGTGGGAGTTGTGGAAATAAAAAATTAATTAATTAAAAAAAATAGAATTCATTAAAACCAAATTCGAAAAGTACTGAGAATAACAAGTGCATAATGATCTGTAAAATGCTTATGACTTTATAAGTTTTTGTCTGTTGGCTGTATGTGCTATCTTATAATCACCCTTCATTTCAAACACCTTGAAATGCTAGGGGTTGCCTTTTCCTTCTACCATATTAGTGCCCATTTGGGAGGGATTTCGGGACACAACTTCTTCTGTTTCGGGCTGGGCCCCACGTAGAATTCATAAATGCTGTTGTATTTAATGAAAATCCGGAATTCTTAAAAGTTGTGTTTGATCTCAATCCTTGGATTTGTCATTTGTTTAACATTAGGCTTGGAAAGTAGACAAGTTGCATATATACTAAATCAAATTTTCATACATGATTTTATATCGCCAAAAATGTGATTTCTAACTTATTTTCTATTATTTTCTTATAGGTTGAACATGGTAAAGGAGGATACTTCACACGTGTACATGAAGACATTTGATCAAACTTTACATGACAAGTTTCTTTTTTTGGATTGAGTTTCATGTATTTAAGAACCTAGAATTTATAATAAACACATGGATGTTAAAGCACCTTGAGATATAGTTTATGTATTCAAGAACATTTTTATGGAATTTTAGTTGTGCTTGTATTCGATACAGGAAAGTAGGCTTCAAAAAATAATAGAAAAAATTTAGGATCTAGGTTATGTTTTTAACTACAGTCAATGAAAACCGTTGCTAAAGGTTATTTTAGCTGATTGTTGTTCTTCTGCTACAGACAACGTGAACCGTAGTTATAGGTTATTTTTTTAGCTATGGCCAGTTAATATCCGTAGCTATAGATTGATGTCTTTTGCTACTGACTATTTAAACCGTAGCTATAAATGCAAATTTTGTAGCTATGGCTAGAAAGTCAAATTTGTAGCTACAGATAACTTAAAAACCATAGCTACAAGTACATATATAATTATTTAGATTAGGCTTTAGCTACAGGCACAAACCGTAGTTATAGGTTAGTTATAGCTACGGATTCGTTCATCTATAGCTATTGCCTATAGCCACTGCGATTGTAGCTACCATTTCTTAACCATAGCTAGTCCGTAGCTATAAACCTACGGTTTTTGGCATTTGTACCTACGATTTTGTCTGTAGCTATAAGCGTATTTTCTTGTAGTGCCTGATCCCCATCAATGATAGAATTTGATACGCCATCGAATCACTCACCATCGACAAACATCAAGAATCGAATAGCATGTCAGACCACCACACAGGGGGGCTTCGCCCCTAGTAAGCCATTAATGATATCACCCTTTGCCAACCCCTCCCCCGCTGACAATAGTTAGGGGGCTTGACGCCCCAACCGATACCTTCCCACCAATAGCCAAGGGGGCTAAAATTTACACAAGCTTGCCCATTGTCACAAAGAAAACGGTTGGCAGAAGTAACTCTTAGTATCTTTTGCCAATTTCCTTCCCGTCAATGGTCAAGGGGACTGAAACATACAAATAGAGCATATAACACTAATCGTTGACAGGAAGGAAATCACCAAAAGACAGGGGGGCTAAGCCATAGAATGTAAGAAACTACCACCGTGAACATAAAGCATACAAGATCTATACAAAGCTATAAAACAGGGAAAATCCCCAGACCCAATGCACACAAGCAAATCCATTACAAAACCCAAAAATAAGAAGGCAAAATGCATATCGATAAGCTCCCACTTACCGATAATCAGGGGGGCTAATGTAGGTATATAGTGTCTGCTCAGACCCTCAAAGAACATTAAACACTAAATTAACACCACGAGGTTGCATGCGAACAACCCACAATCAACTTTCCCACTACGATGAACCCGCAATGCATCACAGGTTCTGT